GCCTAAGAATCTTAATGATTTTAAGTTTTCTTCAGTATCAAAGAAATCCAGTGGTATTAATCTGGACATCAATGGGTACACTGCAAACAGAAACGGCTAATCGCTAATTCAGCATACTTTAAATGGTTTAAATTAGCCAAAATGTAAACCAATAAAGCCTTAAACAACAGTAGCACACAGCTAACAGCACATTGTACTTCCTGTTTAGGTCTCAGTGTCAGACTGTGAAACCCCTGCTGTATATAAAGGTATAACTTATTTACAGCAACCAGCAGCCACAGACACACAACATCGACAACAACCTGAAACAGTCTTCACCCCGACAGCTGCAGCATTTCACATCACATTTCTCTCCTTAGTGGAGTTCTTCTTTGATGTGCCAAAGCAGAACAAGAGAAAGGAGGGAATACTGGGTGGGGTGACAAAGAGGATAAAAACAGACTCGGGCTGTGAAAAAGAGAGAGGCCACAGAGAGATTTATGCAATATGTCAGAGAGGAACTGAGAGAAAGAGATGAAAGGAAGAGGAAAGAGCACATTCCCCCAAAGTTTCAGAGAAAATTTGATTCACACTGATCCAAAATCGATGCTGAATCCACAAGTTTCCTCCGATGATTGTTATTATGTCGTATTTTTCACTTTGCGGCGCGCCTGTCTCTTTAATACGACAGAGCGCAATCCCACAACCCTCCTGAGAGAGAGGGGGAGAGGTAAAGGAAGAAGAGAGAGAAAGAGGTAAATGAAGAGGAGGGAAGATAGAAAAAGAGATAGGAGGGAGATGAAAAAGAGAAAGAGGAGCAGGGAGAGGAGGGAGGGAGGGAGAGGCAGCGAGGGGGGAGGTTGAGTCCTTTCTCTACAGTAGGTCATTAATATTTCAAAGTGTGTGCCAGGCTCTCCCAGCCAGTCCGAGCCCAGCGAGCAGCCACAGTACCAACGTCTGTCTGAGTACCACGACGGATGCAGCGGGACTCCCGACGCTGGGGGCCCGCCATCTCCCCCAGAGAGACTGACACAGCCGGACCGAACACGGCCCACAGCCGCTTTCACAACGTTCCTCGATGTTTGGCCTAACCTCTACTACTAGTCCTGAGTCTCCCTAGCTAGGCTAGTTCTGGATTCCCAGTCCGAGGAGAATAGAGGATTTAATAGTACGTGGACAGATTAGTTGCTGGTTTACTGGTAAACTGATCTGTGACTAGAAATTAGCATTATAAGGCTCAAATATGTGTTGCCACTCTAGACAGTTTTATTCTCTTTTGATAGTAAAGGTTGATACAAATGATGTGATTTGGGCGACTGTTATTGATCGGTTTTACTTCACTATGAACTAAGTAAGCATAGCCCTGATCAACCAAACTCCATTCAGAAAACAATCATTTTAAAAGTTGTTTGCTCGTCATCTTGCGCAAAGACCCAACAAAGAATGAATTCAGACTTATTACACATTGGTATCATGATGTAGTGATTATGACATCATTTTCATCTGTTTATTGACATTGAATCACAACAAAATCTGTTTATTTTAGACTCAAAATCTTACAAAGTGTTAGGCTACATACATAAATGCTGCTCACAATCAATTTCAGTCGAGAGCTTTAAGACTGAAAAACGTCCACATTCACAGACGACCTTTATCTGATGGTACTGCCAGCTGCAGACTGTGTCCAGTGTGTCCTCTGTAACTTGGATTATTTCTGTCGACCTCATCTAACGGACACATCGGTTTCCATCCCTGGAAGCGGCTGCAGGAAGATCTGCGATACGAGCTGTGCGAGTGCAGCTCTCTAACTGGCTGTTTAGCCAACTTATTTAGACCGTGATCCTAATCTGCTTTTAATCCTGAGTGTAAATGTGAAAACAATGTGCCACATGGTCCATGAGCCCAGAGGAGACTGACTGCTTACAATCCAATTAAAATGACACTGTTCTCCAACAAAACATCTCAATCTGATTCCTGTAATTGAATTCTGTTGTGTAATGAAAAACAGAGCTGCGGGCGAGAATCAACAAAACACTTGCACTGCAAAGATACAAGACCTCCGCTTGAAAAAGACCAAAATAACGATTACACTGTTTGATCTATAAACTAAACAAGTGGGGAGATTTCATCATGCAGTGAATTAGGTTACACTGGTCTCGTTTATGTGCTTTATTTTTCATTTCACACAGTTATGAGCCAGAGTTAATATTTCATCGTGTAATCTCCAACGACGACTGACTGTTAACATCCAACAGAAAAGACACCAAAAAGGTTTCAGACAGAGAACTGCAGCCTGAAGAAGCTCTCATCTGTTCATTACACACACACATACACACACACACAGCACTCTGCAATGGTGTCTCTAAGGACCTTCATACTGCATTAGTCAGTGTGTGCGTGTGTGTGTTTGTGTGGGTGTGTTGCCTGGTAAACAGTATAAGTTGCATGTGTGCATTCATGTCTATGTTAGTTGTGTCACTAGATATGTGTGTAATGCTTGCACCCCAAGGTGTGTGCCAATGTTCCCTGTGTGTGTGTGTGTGTGTGTGTGTGGGTGTGTGTGTGTGTTGTGCACTCCTGCTGAACGAGTGGGCCCAGCTGCTGGCTCAAAGGAAGCAGTCTGAATTAAAATAATTCACCAGCTGCTATTATACAACAATTACTACAGTGCCATCAAAGCTCTCAACACACACACACACAGACACACAACACGTGTTTCATACAACATGAGTACAGTAACATAAATCACACACCAGATTAAGAAGCAGTGATTTATGTTACTGTTTGCTGCGTGTTTAATTAATATTCTTATCTGACTGGGACAAAGTAGTTTCTGGTGGCGGGTAACGACAGTGATTCATTGGATGTTCTCAGAGACACGCCTCTCCAGCGCCGACAACACCGAGGAACACAATTATCCAGAGAGGACAACAGAAGCAGAGCGTACGGCCTCATACAGGTAACACTGTACTTAAAGCTCCAGTGTGAAACACTGAGGAGGATCTATTGTCAGAAATATAATATAATATTCATAGGTATGTTTTCATTAGTGTATAATCACCTGGAAATAAGAATTGTTTGTTACCTTAGAATGAGACGTTTTTATCTACAGAGGGAGCGGATCCACCATGTTTCTACGGTAACCCAGTACTGGCTCGTTCTTAGCGAGTCTCACAACCACCGTAGTTTGTAATTTAGAGGTGAGGGGGTTGTAATCTGCAGCTACGCTGCTAGCTAAACCTTACACACCGGTCCTTCAAAGCAGTGGTTACCCACTAGGGGTCGCCAAAGCTTCACAGGGGCTTCACTCTCTGATAAACAGCCTCGTCCTGCATTAGAACAGTTCAAACAACCAACAGAACAATGGAATTTGTCAAAAAAAGAAGCCTATAAAGTATGTACGATTGTTAAATATAGATGAAACATTATACAGACATACAGATAATTGTATAAAAAGTTCAGTAAAATTTAACTCTGATGCAGTATTCACAGGAAATAATCTTAAATCAATAATTTCCTAATTTTATTATTCCTGATTAATTTGATTCCTGATTTTAATGGTGAGATTTTTACTGCCCTGTAGGACAAAATGACCAAATGACGT